TATTTTGTAATTAATTTCATTCAATCTCTTCTTGTCTTTTACTTTTCTTAGTGATGTATTTTATATATATTATCTTACTAGTATAATAATTTTTATTTTTATTCATTTTTTTTAGTTTGTCTTTTTGAGACAAGGTCTCACTATGCAGTTCAGACTGGGCTCGAGCTCACTTTGTAGCCCCGGCTGGTCTCAAACTCAAACAATCCTCCTACCTCAGCCTTCTCAGTGCTGGGATTACAGGCCCATGCCACCACACTCAGCTTAGTATAATAATTTTTAATCAGAGATTTTTCTTGTTAAACTTGATTTCAAAGGTCATTGACCACAGATATTAATTACCCTATTACTGTATAAATCTAGATTTTTAACAACAACATAAAGTATAAAAATCATAAGTCAATGTCAAGATAAAATACAATTAAGTATTAAGAATTATGAGATGATATTAACAATTTAGCACAATAGGTATGGTAAATATAAGATCAGTTTATGCAAGAAATATGAATAATCAATGAACATATGAAAATATTCACAGTGTCAGTAAGTCAGGTTGTGAAAAGTAAAACAACACTGAAATATTTCACACTTCTAAAGTTGGACAACAGTAAATGTCCAATGGCCTTGAAGGTTGAGCCATGTAGAGCAGTAGATGGTCATTTACATAAGTGTCTTGGGTAAAACCAGTGTGAACAGTGATTCAGCAGTATAGTAAGATGCAGGATTCTCATTCCCTTCACCATAAAAGAAAATATCTTTAGAAAAACAACTGAAAAATACAAACAAGAATAAATGAGATATTACTATTCAAAGTGTTTGACAGGAAGCAATGCAGAACAATGATCCCTGAACAGCTGCACAAAGAGAAGTGAGCCCTGGAATGGGCCCAGTTTATCACCTGGAAAGACAGTCTGTGGGTTCCAGCTCAAGGAGGAAAGCCAGACAAACACCCAGTGGTCTCCTTGAGCTGGATGGATACAGCTGGTAAAAAGAACGGGAAGTCAAGACAGGCATGGTGGCGCACGCCGGTGATCCTGGCACTAGGGAGGCCGAGGCAGGAAAATGGCTGCAAGTTCAGGGCCAACCTGGGCTACAAAGTGAGTTCAAGGCCAGCCTGAACTGTGTAGCAAAACCCTGCTTCAAAAAGACAAAAAAAAAAAAAAAAAAAAAAAAGGGAAGTCAGAACAACTGGAATTGTCAAGACAGAATTCCAGACAGAAGAGCCCGGCACAGAGAGAGCACGGGGGAGGCTTGAAGAGTGTCCTCAGTCAGCATAATGCTGATGAACACCTGACACCTCCAGGAGAGGAACCCTCCCCAGGCCCAAAGACAAACACACTCATCAGGGCTCATGCAGAGCCAAGAATTCTTTTGCTCTCACCAGCCAAAAAAAGAAAACCTCCCAATTCACCAGATACTGGGGAGAGCACGTAGGTTTCATTGAATAACAACTCCAGTAATTTTCTCCATTATAGAACCCTGAATATTTACAGGTTCCTTTTATTTTTGGCAAGACTGCTTCAAATACTATGATTAATTTTTGTGCCACTGAGTGGTACCTATTTTCCTGGTTTTCCCCTAATATAAGCCCTCCCCCCACACACACAGACACACACAAAGCCAAGTGTTTGTGACAGCACAACCCAAGCCCCAGGTCATGGCAAAGGCATCTCAGGTTTGATTTTTTACATTTAATATGGTGAAACTTCCTAGAAGATTCTCACAATTCGATGGGTTTGAGATTAAAGTGAGATTATGGCCAGATGAAAGAAAAGAAGAGCCTATTTCCATATGATGTAAAATCTTAATTTCAGTTGAAGGAAACTGGAGTGAAAAGGGGAAAATTAAAAAGTAAGAAAAATAATTCATGAGAGTTACTTTTCATTTCATTCT